GTCAAGGTGTGAAAGAAAACATAATTGCTGGTAAATATTTCTTAACTGTTGCTAATGACATTAAAAAATTTAAAGAAAAAATTTAACACTTTTTGGACCCAATTGTTGATTTAGAAGTTATCAAAAACTGTATGCAAAAAAATGCGTTCAAAAATTTTATAAAAACAGTCAACAAATTTATTAAAAAAGATAAGTATACCTGTGGCTCATGTAACAAAAATTTAATTGATGAGACAATTATGTGTGATAGTTGTATACTCTGATGGTATCATTAGTCGTGCGTTCAAATTCAGAATGCTCCGAGAAAGGACTGGTTCTGTCCTGACTGTACTAAGATTTTTTTTAAATAACAATAGCTACCACTAGTAGTAACAAACTGTACTCCAAAACCATTATACATGTAGAAGAATAATTTAATTGAGAACTTAATGCAAATAACCTATTATTTTTTTTATAGTTATGAAAAAAATGTGTCAACAACAACCCGTGATCAATATTAGGTAATTTTCGTACCTAACTAAGTATATTATAAATATGTATAAACTATTGACAAAAAATATAAGTTAATATATATTTTATTTGAAGCTATTAAATTTAATGAAATCAATCAGTATTAATTAAACTTATAAGATTATAAAAAAATGTGTCTATAAAAAACTAATATGAACTGATAAACTGATACAATTAATAGTATGCTGAGGTTGATGACGCTCACTATTATATCCATATATAGACTTAGGTAACTGCTGTACTAGTTGGGGATGGGCGAATCGCACGTTTATTCCTTCATTCCAGAGCGCAATACTGTACTTTACGTGTAATCGTGCATTACAGGACGTTTCGTTTCAGGAAGATTGGTTACATATGGTCCAATAATAAAATACTAGCTTGTTAAACTTGATGGCTCATAGCACAACTTCTATTCTAGCCGAAAATTTTTATGCTGCAATCGATTTAGGTACTGTCGTAAAAGTCGTTAAAGAAGGACTAACTCTGTAAGAAAGAATTCATGTCGTATCGATATTCATTGCACAAAAGCCTGTAAGTGTTTGGCAGGTCAATGAGTTAATTTTATTTATCCAAAATTTCATAGAGGATTTTTAAGCTGTGAAAAATATTCGTATGAAGGAAGATAAATGTGCCTAAGTCATCAGTAACGTTTCGTTTAAAATCTAATTTGAAAATTTAGTAAACATTTAAAATAATTGTTAATACTCGATTCTCATTGATGAAAGCACTGACATTAGTAATAAAAAATTTCTTTGTGTTTGTGTACAGTATTTTTCACAGTTAACAAATTCTGTTGTTCAACATTTTTTGCAATTAATTGAAATCAGTGCTCGAAAAGGTAGTGCACAAGAGCTGCTTCGCGCATTTAAAAAGTTTTTTGACGATGATTCCATAAATATGAATAATTTAGTTGCTCTCTCGTATGATAACGCTAGTGTTATGGTCAGTAAACATAACAGCTTTCAAAAATATCTATGAGATTATGTTCCTCATTTAATTGTCCACAATTGTATTTGCCACTCAGCCGTGATCGTAACGAAAATTTGTTGTAGTATGCTTCCGAAGAAAATAGAAGAATTTGCTCGCAGCGAGTACTCTTATTTTCCGTGTAGTCCAAAGTGCACCACGGAAATATCGGAGAATTTAGAATACTTAAATTTGCCTGATAATAAAGGATACAAGTTTTTGGGAATGCGATGGCTTAAAGCTTATAAACGCTATGATCGTCCTCTATCTATGTGGACAGCTTTAATTTCTTTTCTTTTGGGAGAAGTATTTGAAAAAACAATCCTGCCGAGTATAAGCACTAAAAATGAGCCTAAACCGAAGGCAGGAAAAATATTAAACATACTGTAAAATAATACTCAAAGAGCCTACGTAATTTTTTTTCATTTTACCTTAAATTTTTTAAATTCTTTTAATGCAGCCTTTCAATCTAATGTGTATAATACACGAAAGATTCACGAATTTATAAGAAAATTATAAACGCAACTTGCAACTATAACGATGCAAAAATTACCTGAAGCTTCTCCGAATTGGTTGTTTCCAGGGGCTGTAGATACTCTGAGACGAGAAGAGAACGCCAATGGTCCACTAGTTGAGCTGTAGAGACACACCAGCACCAGCGGAAAAGGTCAAGAAAAAGCGTACACGACTACCAGGATACACAGTAGCTGCTATGTCGAGAGTGACTGCGAGGGGAGATACGTGGAAGCAGTAGCAGTGGTGGCCATTGATTAAGCGAAAGATCGCGAGTTAGTCTTGAGGAGAGTCTCGATCTGTACGCCTAAGTGCGAGCAGCGAGAATTTAGATGATTTTTGCAGGTTTTTCTCGGTGAGAGAAGAGTTCGAGAGAGAGAAAGGGAGTTTTCGAGAAGCAGTGTAGAGTGTCGAGAGAAAAGTGTATGCAAGTCTAGCAGCTGCTGTAATCTCCCAAGACGATGAGGTCTCAAAGTTGAGGACTACGGACGCAGCTCAGACAAAAAAAGAGTGTAAGGGAGAGCGAAGAGGAAGATCGAAGCCGTAAGACGAATTACCCACTCGAGAATCACGAACGACATCGCTCTGGGTTGGAATCCCGGATGTTTGACCAGGAGGTGAAGTTAGAGAAAGAGAGAGAGAGAGAGAAGAGGTTTCAAAGGAGTAGCGTAGGTTGTGACAGAGAGCGAGAGAGTGAGAGGTAGTGCGTAGGTAGACGAGCCAGATGTACGAGAGACTGTGAGGTGCATGCTCGGAAGTGCTGCCATTATTCGCACGTTTCACTGAGTGTGAGAATAGATAGAAGAGTAAAAAGAGAGAGAGAGAGAGATCTGGACTACGAGAGTTAAATCAAGGATGAGAAAGAGAGAGAGAGAGAAGCTTCTTCGAGTATACTAGAAAGAGAGAGAGAGAGAGAGAGAGAGAGTATGAGTGTAAAGAGCAAGTGCGAGCAGGCCACAGAAAGAAGGAGTAGAATAAAGTAGAGTGTGAGACCGTGGACGAAATCATTTTTTGCCTCTAGAATACGATTATTGCTACCCACAATCTGTAAAAGTTGTGCTTCATTTTTCAATTAAAAAATTAATTGAGAAAAAGTGATTTTCTTAACGTTTTACTTCATATCACCTTTCCTATGCATTTTTTGTGATGCATACCTATAGAGTTTATTGTTCTTTACTAAATTATCTAAAATATAAGTCCAAGTAGAGGTCGCTAAGCATTTTTGTTAAACGGTAAGTAGCGTTCAAAGTTAAAAAATGTGCTTTTTTACATATTTAATATCTCAAAAACAATAATACCCAGAAGCTTAGAATTTTCTACAATTGTTAATAATAATCATAATCTTAACAATTGCACTAAATTTTGTCGAATTTGGTTTTAAACTTTTCGGGTAATTACCAATTTTTTTTTTTTTTTTTTTTTCATTAGTTGAAAAATGTTCTTAGACTTGTACGCAGTGCCGTCTTTTAGAGTAATGGAGCCCTATCCAGCGGAGGCCCACTTAAGGAAATCGATTTTATGCAAAAAATTTCGAATTAAAAGTACGAAATTCTGTACAAGAATGAATCATAGCACCTCCTTTTACTGTATTAGTAACAACAATGAGCAAGATTTAATAAAAATAATTTAATATAATTTTTCATTTTATTTAATTAATTTCTGATGCAAAAGAAAATCGAAATAAAATATACAGCAGTATATTTTGATTTAATACAACATATTTACAAACTATATGAGATCATATGGTATACATTATGTATTATATTATTTTGCACGACTTTTTTAATTTAAACAGTCACCATAAAAAGTATTTTAATATCCAGCAGTTTCAATTTGCCGTCAAAACAGTACGTGACACGGACACAATGCGTTGGTGTCGCTACAAGCACTTTCTTACTTTCCGTCCGCAAGCCCGCGTTCAAGTCTGTGAACTTGAAAGCAAGTGCAAACCTGCATCAATCGTCACCTTTCGGAGAGTGTGTAGTATGAGTGCAATATCTTGTCATATTACGTTACCGTTAGTCAAAAGTTCACAGTTTAGTTTGAAATCACAAAGAAAATAGTTTTTTATTTAAATACATATTTACTGTTTTTTGAAATGAGTCGCGTGTATGCTAGTGGTGCACAGAAAAGAGCGAGAGCAAATAAAAGAAAGGCTGAGGTCGAAAAATTACCGAAAATTCTCAATTTTTGTCATACAGTTAATGTAATTAATACCGAGGTTAATACTGATGCTACTGATAAAGGATTGCAAATTGAAGAAAGTAATGCTACTCATAAAAATACTAATCTCAGTAACGAAAGTAATGGAGTCAGTAAGTATTTTAAAACTATTCTTACCAATTTTGATCTTTATCGTGGTTTCACTCGAATTACTTTAAGTAGCAAAATACGCACAAAATAAAATTATTTATTGTTTTTTTACACTTTAGAAACATTGCTTGAGGATAAGAGTGAAGGATCCTCATCTACTTCTAATACTGCTCTCAATAGTTCAAATAAATCAAAATTAATGTCTGGTACTTAACTAATGTTTTTATTTTATTTTATTAATGTGTTGTTAAACGAAAAATTATTTTTCTCAATTTTATTACGATTTAGAAACGTTCCTTCAGGATAACAATAAAGAACAAATTTCTCCATCAGAGCTTGTCACCACTCTCAGTAATTTAGATAGAAATGAACAATCGGCAGGTATATTAAAAATTTTTTTATTCGAAATGATCTGTCGGCAGTCGGTCAACTGTCGGAGCTTAGACTGAAACCTTAGTACGATACATTTTTTTGTACAGATAGAACTGCTCCTGAGAAAAAAATTGTTGAATATTCGTTAGATCCAGCTCAATGGAAAATTGATGATTCTTTTATATCATATTGAATTCAAAAAGGTCCAGCATTATTAAGAAATATTAATAGTAATTTTCGTAAGTCTATTCGCATTTACGAAGAATCCGATGGAAAGAAAAAAAATAGACAATTAACTTTATCCCTTTTTACACGGCAAATGAAAAATGGCGAAATCGTTAAGCGTGAATGGTTGCTATACTCGCCATCATCAGGGGCAGTTTATTGTTTTATTTGTAAGCTATTTTCATCCAAAAACAGTCTATTCAGTTCATCAGGATTCGATGATTGGAGAAATGGAACAAAACGAATAAAAGAACATGAAGAAGGTATGGAGCATAAGAATTGTCTGTTAGCGTATACGAAACGTAAGAGTGCAACTGGTTGCATTGATGAGCAACTTATCCTACAGCGTAATAGAGAAACTGAATATTGGAAACAGCTAATACAACATCTTATAATTGCAATAACATTTTTAGCTTCTCGTGGATTAGCTTTTCGTGGAGAAAATCAAAAACTAGGATCAACACACAATGGAAATTATTTAGGGTTACTAGAATTAATTAGTGAGTATGATCCTTTTCTTAAAAATCATTTTCAAATCTACGGCAATAAAGGCAAGGGACAAACTTCGTACTTATCTGCAAATATTTGTGAAGAAATTATACAATTAATAGCTAAACAAGTAGCTTATTTTATAGTTGAGGAGCTTAAAAAATCAAAGTATTATTCTATTTGCGTTGATTCTACACCTGACATTTCGCATCAAGACCAACTAACATTTACTGTCCGCTACCTCATCAATGATCAGCCAATCGAACGATTTTTGGCATTCATACCGATTGAAGCTCATGGATCTGAGTACTTGTCTAATGTTGTAACTAAATTTTTAAAATATACTAACATCTCTATAGAAGATTGTCGTGGTCAATCGTGCGACAACGCATCAAACATGTCGGGACAGTACTCAGGTCTCCAAGCTAGATTGAAAGAAATTAATAAATACGCCGAATACGTACCGTGTGCGGGTCATTCTCTTACTCTAGTTGGTGTAAAAGCTGTGGAATGTAATACTCTCGTCATTAATTTTTTTTTATTTAGTTAAAAAATTGTATACCTTTTTTTCGGCTTTGACACATAGGTGGCAAAAATTGGCATCTGCCTTAAGGAGGCTTGGGCGTTTGATGTCGTATCTATTGAGGGGCCCCTGTGGGGTACTTGTCATACAAATGATTCTTTGTAATATTTTTTTTATAATCATTTTGATTATACACATGTGTAAACAAAATAGCAATAATACGCGGAAAAGTCATTGGGAAAATTGATATTAAAAAATTTATTAGTTTTCCCGAGGTACCTTGTGTAAAGATGACGGCCCTGCCACGATAAAGCTGACTACACTGACAATACTCTCTTGCTCTCATCTGCTATTATATACCTATACTTGTGTTAGACTTAAATTTTCATGCTTGTATGTTTATGAATGTACATCGCATGCGCACTTACTGTACCTGAACAAAACAATTCTGATGTTTGATGTTTTCCTCGCTATTTTCTCAAAATTTAACGTGTTGATCCTATTCTTTTTTTTAAATAATAGATCCTTTATACTTTCAAGTACATGTACCAATTTAATGCGTGGGCCAACAGCTTTTTATTGCGGTACGGTAGTCTATTGAATTTCGGGTTCCGTAAGGTTGCGTGTTAAAATGACGAATTTTCACAAGCGATTTTCTCGAAAATAAATGTGTTGACCTACCTATTTTGTTTTCCTAAAAAAATCTAGCAAACTTTATGTATATAATCTCTGAATTTCAGATCTAGCCAGCATTTAATTCAAAATGGCCCAAGCCTCCTTAAGTAATCACGGAAAATCATTGAAATCTTTGTCCGAAACTAAATGGTCAGCTCGAAGTGATGCTATTAGTGCTCTTCGTGGAAATTATTCGGGTGTGTTAAAAGTTCTTCAAGAAATTTTGATTGATACTTTACAATTAAGTGACACGAAGGTCGAGGCATTAAGTTTGTATAAAAAATTAATCGAATTTAATAATAGTTTCCTCATTATTATTTGGAACGATATTTTATCTTAAATTAATTTAACAAACTTGACTTTACAAAAAGAAAATATAGATCTAGCTACCGTGGTAAATTTACTTGATTCTTTGGAAAAATATATTCAAAATTTAAGAGAGAAATTTAATAAATGTTTTATTAAAACAAAAAGCTTTATAGATGTTAATAAAATTGAAATTAATTATAAAAAAAAAAAAGGTTAAAAACACGAAGCACAAGAATAACTAAATTCGAAGGAAATGGTGAGAAGGAAATTTTGATAAGGAAACTAAATTAAGAGTAGAAACATTTTTTCCGATCATTGATACTCTTTGCGTTAATATCAAGCAGCTAAAAAAAGCTTACGATAAAATAAATGAAAATTTCAGTTTTTTGACACATTTAAGTGAGCTAACAGACAATGAAGTTGAAAGTAAATGCTTAAAACTTACCAAAAATATGATCTTGATTTAAGTAGGAAATCATTAGAATCGGAATGCATTCAATGTAAATTTTATTTAGAGGATTTTGGCAAAAAAGAAAATGTAACAATGACGGATATTTATACTTGTATCAAGAAATACAATTTACTTTCAACGTCTCCAAATTTAGAAATTTGCCTACGAATATTTTTATGTATGATGGCTACGAATAGTAGTGGTGAAAGATCTCTTTCAGCCTTGAAATATTTGAAAAACGAACATAGAAGTACAATGCTTGACGAAAGATTAAATAATCTCGCTATAATGTTTATTGAATCGGAAATTTTGAATAAAATTGATTTCGAAGATGTGATCTCTGATTTTATACTAAAAAAATCTCGAAAAAAATTGTAATATTTTGTTCTTTAATTTTAAATGAAAGATTATTACTTTAACTTTTACATACAATTTGAAACATAACAAAATTAAAAATAATCATTCAAACAAACCTTTAATACTTTTTTTAGAACTCTAAAAAAAAAAAATTCTTTAAAGTTCTTTCTTCTTGGGTGATGAGGCCCCTTGAAAGGGTGGGGCCCTTCAGCCCAAGCTTCGTCGGCTTATGCCTAAAGACGGCACTGCTTGTACGAAACAGTTAGACCTTTCAAATCAAGCCAGATAATTAAAAAAATTATTAAAATTTTGAGAGGTAACAAGGGGGTCGAGTAAATGAATTTGATCTTACAACGGTTGTATGCTTCAAGGGTGGCAACTAGCTTCCCCGGCTCGCACTCGCTCTTCACTGCTTTTCTCTTTACGACGTAGTTCTACCTTTATTTGCCTCTAAAATTTAACCCAGCAAAAGTTTGGTTGACTTATTTGCATACCTTTACTTTTCCAGCTCGCTGGAAATAAGTAATTTTTGTATGGTATGGTTTCGGGGCGACAACTAGCTCCCCTCCGAATCTTTACCAGACACGATTTCTTTTTAAATTGACACTATACTTAAAAGTTAAAGTGTAATGTGGTACCATACCCCTCAATAAAATTTGATCTCATGCAAAGTAATTTATTGTCTTTAATCGAGACAATACATTAAGTAAATTATACTTATTAAATTGTTAATATTGATTATTGTAAGTACATGTGTATTCGGTTTTACTAGAATACTAGTAAAAAAATGTTCGATCAATGTACTATTTCAAGTTTTATTTTCATCGTTGCATTTATGCTTAAGTAGATCGGCGCGTGAGGCGAACATGAGGCGGATTTATTTACCAGTGGGGCCCATTCTCCCTGCATGCTTATCTTCATGTCCCCAAAAGCCCTTGTCAAAACAGATCGCTTTATAGCTCTGTTTATTTCTATTTAATAACTTTTTAACGAAAATCGTTGTTTTTTCATTAAAAACGTGCTAATAAGATCAATGAAATATCGAGTAACAAGCGTAATATGTGATGGTTAAAAAATAATACATGTGTTTTTTTTACTAAAACTAAGTTGTAGTGCGAATGTAGAGGTAAGTTTAGTTTACTTGCATGTGATTTTAATGACTAATTTTGAGAGGATTTCGTTATCTTTAACGATAAAGTTTTGTAATTAATTAAATAAGCTGTGGTACGCAGAGTTGTAACTCTCTTTAGGCATTTGAAAGTAACGTAAAATCAATTTTCAGAGAAAATAATATTGAAAAGTTAATAAAGAAACAGCAGAAATCACAGCTTGATTTAAATAAAATGAAATAAATAATTTTGCACAACCTTTTATGTATATTAATATCGCAGGAAATAATATTTTACATGAAACACTTAAAAATCGTGTAAAGAGAAGAAAGAAAATAAAAATACTGCTCTAAGAAAATCAAGTACAGTATTAACAAATAATCATATAAGATTCTTTTTAAAATTTGTGTGTGTGTGTG